TCTCCCTATTCACTAACAGGGAGAGAAGCAGCCAAAGACAGGCTAGAAACAAAGAACATATAGTTGGGTTCAATAGCTCACGCAACCCATGCTACAGATTAACTGTATAGTTAGAAAGTAAAAGACACCCATCAGTTTGAGGAGTTTTACACTGCACATTTGGACAGGTTAGGGTCGTCAACAACCATGGCCTAACAGGCCAACATGGCATAAAAGAGCAGGAAATTTACTCTGGATTTCATTCTTTTGAAAAGTATAATATATTTATCTCTTATTTAATACACTGACAAAAGGAATTTAGTCTAAGAAAAATAATTAGTTTATATTTTAGTATACCTTCTAATTGAGAAATTGGATGCAATGGTGAGATTAATGGCATTAATTTTTCTTAAGATTGATTCCAAATTTGAAATTTATTTTTACCTTTTCATATTTTTGCTATAATATTTGAAAAATATATCCAAATTCCAACCGTCAAGATCATGTCAGGACTCCTCGTTTTCCTAACCCTAAGCCTACCCTGGTAAACACCCCTAACCCTAATATGGAGGAAATGTTCCATTACAAAGGGGGAGATTTTGAAAAAGTCCTCTTTGAGCACATTTTTCAACACAGCTCATGCTTTCTGCCCATTCAAAACACATTCCAACCATCAAAAGCATGCCGAATTTTTTCGTTTTCCTAACCCGAACCCTACTCTGGTACACACCCCAAACCCAAATATACAGATAATTTTCCACTGAAAAGAGAGAGATTTTGAAAAAGACGTCTTGAGTAGGTTTTATTGCAAACCTCATAATTTCTGCCCATTGCAAACACATTCCAACCATCAAAACCATGGCACAACTCCCCATTTCCTAACCGCAACCCTACGCTGGTAGACATCCATGACCCTAATATACAGAAAATTTTACATTGAAAATGGGGCAATTTTGAAAATGCCTTCGTTGAGTAGATTTTTCTGCAGAGCTCAAGATCTATGCCCAATCTAAAAATATTCCAACCATCACAATCATGCGATGATTCCTCATTTTTCAAACCCTAACCCTACCCGGGTACACACCCCTAACCCTAATATTGAGGTAATTTTCCACTGAAAAGTGGACGATCTTGTAAAAGAGTACCTTGACTAGCTTTTCCTACACAGCCCATCATTTCTCCCCATTGCAAACACATTCCAACCATCAAAATCGTGCCAGGACATCTAATTTTCCTAACCCTAACCTTACCCTGGTAAAAACCCCTAACCCGAATAGAGAGGTAATTTTCCATTGAAAATGGGGTGATTTTGAAAATTCTTTCCTTGAGTAGATTTCATTGCACACCTCATCATTTCCAACCATTCCAAACACATTCCAACAATCAAAATCATGACAGGACACCTCGTTTTTCCAACCCTGACCCTAACCTGGTACAATCCCCTAACCCTAACATAGAGGTAATTTTCCATTGACAAGGGGGCAATTTTGAAAATGCTTTCCTTGAGTGGATTTTACGGCACAGCTCATCATTTCTACCCATTCTAAGCACATTCCAACCATTAAAATCATGCCCAGACACCTCGTTTTCCTAAGCCTAACCCTACCCTGGTACAAACCCCTAACCCTAAAATAGAGGTAATTTTCCATTGAAAAGGGGGCAATTATGTAAAGGTGTTCCTTGACCAGCTTTTCTGACACAGCTCATCATTTCTACCCACTGCAAACACATTCCAACCGTAACATTCATGCCAGGACACCTCGTTTTCGTAACCCTAACCATACCCTGCTACAAACCCCTAACCTGAATATAGAGGTAATTTTCCATTGAAAAGGGGGCAATTTTGTAAAAGTGTTCCTTGAACAGCTTTTCCGACACAGCTCATCATTTCTACCCATTCTAAGCACATTCCAACCATTAAAATCCTGCACAGACACCTCGTTTTCCTAACCCTAACCCTATCCTGGTACAAACCCCTAACCCTAAAATAGAGGTTATTTTCCATTGAAAAGAAGGCAATTTTGAAGAAGTGTTCTTTGACCAGCTCTTCCGACACAGCTCATCATTTCTGCCCATTCTAAACACATTCCAACCATCAAAATCATGCCTTGACATCTCGTTTTTCTAAGCCTAACCCAGTGATAGTCAACCTTTTAGATACTGAGTGCCTAAACTGCAATCCAAAACTCACGTACGTACTGCAAAGTGCCATCACTGCAATAAAACCTGAATACTGAGGTTTTTAGAAAGAACTACTCGTACCCTGTCCAAGCTTTTATTTATATATATATATATATATATATATATATATATATATATATATTTCTTGGCAGCGCACTAACAATCCATGCAAAAGCTTGGACGAGTTGCAGGTAATGAGTCGCGGCTTGTGAGGTCATTTCCTGGCGCCGCTACTCCTTTCTGAGTATGCGCATGGCCCCTATGTGCACTGTTATCCAATGCTTGGCTGCTGGGGCGATGCTGAGGCGACTTGTCTTGCGTGCCAAGAGAGGGGGCTCTGCATGCCCGCTGTGGTACACATGCAATAGGTTTGCCACCAGTGTTTTAGTCAAATCCACTGTCTCCCTACTATGGAACCACTTTGATCCACTTTAATATATTAATGCATTAATATTCCTAACATTTCCCTAAAAGGATAGAAAGGACTGAAATCTGCATGGATCTCTTATCAAATTATCTTCTTTCAGACTTCCCAAGGTGTGAAGTATCTAAAGAACCTGGCATTTGGATGCAAATGGAAGTTCAAATTCAAGAATCAGAGTTAAAATTAGATTTTCCCCTTAGTGATTCCATTTGAATGTGATTCCATGGTTCAGTAAGCCATACTAATACAGTCACTGACGCCTAAATATGTGTGCACATCATGCATTTTATATATAGGTGAGTCCTGAAAGTAATGAGAATATTTTAAGAATTATTTTATTGAAAAATTTTACAATTGAATATTGTCTCCTTCAAAGTATGCAGCTTGTGAGCCTACACAATGTTCCCAGCAATTTTTCCATTCTTCATAGCATCCCTGGAAGTCTTCAAGTGGGATGGCATTCAGACTCTGTGTAGTGACTCTTTGGATGTTATCCACACTACCAAAATGGTGTCCTTTCAAAACATTTTTCATCTTTGGGTAAATAGATGGGGAAGAAATGGAAGTAGTGACAGATTTTATTTTCCTGGGCTCCAAGAGCACTGCAGAAGGTGACTGCAGCCAAGAAATTAAAAGACACTTGCTCCTTGGGAGGAAAGCTATGGCAAATCTAGACAGCATACTAAAATCAGAGACATGACCCTGCCAACAAAAGTTTGTATAGGCCAAGCTATGGTTTTCTGAGTTGCAATGTATGGCTGTGAGAGTTGGATCATAAGGATCATAAGGAGCATCAAAGAACTGACACCTTTGGATTGTGATGCTGGAGAAAACTCCTGAGAGTCCCTTGGACTGCAAAGAAACCAAATCAATCTTAAAGGAAATCAACCTGATTGTTCTTTAGAAAGTCTGATACTGAAGATGAAACTCAAATACTTTGGCCACCTAATGAAAAGGAAGGACTCACTGGAGAAGACCCTAATGCTTAGAATGATTAAAAGCAAAAGGAGAAGGGGATGGCAGAGGTTGAGGTGGCTAGATGGGGTCACTGGGGTGGTCGGTGTGGATCTGGGTGGACTCCAAGAAATGGTGGAGGACAGGAGAGCCTGGAGGAATGTTGTTCATGGGGTCATGAGGGGTCAGAAACAACTTAGCGACTAAACATAACAAACAAAAAACAAAGTATGCACATGATTGTGCTATAAGAGTCACCTAAGGTATACCAGAGTAAACATGAATTTAACTATTATACTAAGGCAGGCATAATGGCCTTCCAGGTATTTTGGCCTATAACTCCCATCAGCCCTACCACAGCATAGCCAATATTGAGAGATGATGGGTATTGTAGGCCAAAACATGCCACCCCCACACTATGCACACCTGGATTAATAGCATGCTCTACCACAGATTTTCAGGGCTTCACACTAACTCTGAGATCACGTCTACTAACTTTATAACTGATGTTCTCTGAATCTAAACTGGGAACCTATTGAAAGCTAGTAAAAAAGCAAATATATCTGTCCATGATTTAAAATGCAAACAATCATTAAACCATCCAATTAAATATTTTAGAAATAAATGCATTCAACCCACGGGTTTCTTGCCTATATTGCAAAGGTTTTCACATTCAATATTCGAGCAACCCCGTATGTTTATGCCCTCCACTTTCCATTTGATCTTCATTTAATATGCTTTAGGAGTACCGTGCTGTATCATTATCATTCCTACTCCTCTAATTTCTATGGAAGGCCATAATATTAGGGTTAATATTAATATCAATAATATTAATTTCTGGTGTAAAGAGATGATAACCTGATAAAGTCAGTAACTGGACTTATTGGTTATGGTCTATTGAGAACACCTCTTTACACTCTTATGTGTGAGCAAATCTATCCTAAAAAGCTCTTTAAAACCACAAAAAGAATCCAAACCAAGCAGATGCTGCTATCTTTTGCAGCTGAAGCCCCTGAAATGAATGCTAGTTATTAAGAATAAAGCTTAATGAAAAAGTCCAAAAAAGCAATATATTTATTTGTTTGTTTGTTACCAGTAAGATATAGAAATCGGGGTCAATGTTTACCCATGGTCCATTTCTTTAACCTTTTCTACTATTTAATAAACAAAATATCTTTTAATAATGGTGATACATATTTCATTTCTGGTTCCCTGACATTATGTACATTCCCATCTTCTATGTAAAACAAAAACAAAATATCTCAAACAGACTTCAAAATAATTCCAATAACCACAAAACAATATAGTGTATTTCTCACAATTCCCCTCAAGGAAAACTTGAAGACCATGGTCTCTGAAAAGATGAAGACATCAATTATAGTTTCAGTTTTTAAACAATGATTTCATTTGGCTAATGTTAGTGGCCAAAGGATAGATAAGTCACTTAGTGGCAGCAACCTACTGAGTATTTCAGCAAATACTGTCAGCCAATCTATCTTCAGTATTGAAGCGGCTGGAATGTGATAAAGTAGTCTTCACACAGTATCACGTAAGAGAATCCAGCTGAGTTTGTATAGTCTCCAACTATTTAACAAAAAAGCATTAGCACAAGACATTTAGAAACGGGAACACAGAAGAGAAATAATAATCAAACTATGCAGATTAAATATGTTAACACTAGGCATCAATTTGATTTTTAATGAAATTCACAGGAGTCAGAAATTCAAGAAACAAGTTGTCTACTGATTAATATACTAACAGCTACAAATCTGCAATATATATCTATACAGTATATCACAGAAGTGAGCACACCCCCTCATATTTTGTAAATATTTTATTATATCTTTTCATGTGACAACCCTGAAGAAATGTCACTTTGCTACAATGTAAAGTAGTGAGTATACAGCTTGTATAACAGTGTGAATTTGCTGTCCCCTCAAAATAACTCAGCACACAGCCATTAATGTCTAAACTGCTGGCAACAAAAGTGAGTACACCCCTAAGTGAAACAGTCCAAATTGGGCCCAAAGTGTCAATATTTTGTGTGGCCACCATTATTTTCCAGCACTGCCTTAATCCTCTTGGGCATGGAGTTCACCAGAGCTTCTCAGGTTGCCACTGGAATTCTCTTCCACTCCTTCATGACGACATCACGGAGCTGGTGGATGTTAGAGACCTTGCGCTCCTCCACCTTCCGTTTCAGGATGCCCCACAGATGCTAGATAGGGTTTAGGTCTGGAGACATGCTTGGCTAGTCCGTCACTTTTACCCTCAGCTTCTTTAGCAAGGCAGTGGTCATCTTGGAGGTGTGTTTAGGTTCGTTATCATGTTGGAATACTGCCCTGCAGCCCAGTCTCCGAAGGGAGGGGATCATGCTCTGCTTCAGTATGTCACAGTACATGTTGGCATTCATGGTTCCCTCAATGAACTGTAGCTCCCCAGTTCCGGCAGCACTCATGCAGCCCCAGACCATGACACTTCCACCACCATGCTTGACTGTCGGCAAGACACACTTGTCTTTGTACTCCTCACCTGGTTGTCGCCACACATGCTTGACACCATCTGAACCAAATAAGTTTATCTTGGTCTCATCAGACCACAGGACATGGTTCCACTAATCCATGTCCTTAGTCTTCAGCAAACTGTTTGCAGGCTTTCTTGTGCATCATCTTTAGAAGAGGCTTCCTTCTGGGATGACAGCCCTGCAGACCAATTTGATGCAGTGTGTGGCGTATGGTCTGAGCACTGACAGGCTGACCCACCACCCCTTCAACCTCTGCAGCAATGCTGGCAGCTGTCGTGCCTGATGCCCCAACAGAGGCATCACCTCACGAGGAGGTCTTGTGCTTGGGACCCTGTACCCAAATGCCAACCCCACAACTTAGCTTGGGGGTGGCTGAGCAGACAGCTGTACCTCACCCTGACTCCACGCCCATTGAGCAAACACCAGAGCCCACATCAAAGCAAGAGAGCCCCAAGGGAAAAGGCACTACGAGTTCTGCTCAGAAAGAGTTAGAGCAGACTGTCCCTCCCACTACTGACGCTGAACTTCCTGAGCATGACACAGAAGACGAAGGGGGCGTGATAGACTTTTCCCTAGCAACCAATTGCAGAACTCTGAGGAGGTGGGAACAAAGACAAGCCTTGTTACGTCGGAGAGAAGAAAGGCGGGGCCAGGAAAGCTAGTCCCACGTGGGCTTGGGGAGAGACGCCACTAAAGGGTTAGCATCTGCACTGCAAAGACACCAACAGTAGAGCTTATCTGTAGAGTTGTAAATCTTGAAGATAAGTAGCAATAAAGGGCTTTAGTTTTATTGCTCATGAACGTGTGGGTTGTTTACATGTTGAGTAGCACCTCGACAGCAGCACTCATATCTCTATTTGCCAAAGCCAACCTCTGGATATGACACTGAGCACCTGCACTCAACTTCTTTGGTCAACCATGGCGAGGCCTGTTCTGAGTGGAACCTGTCCTGTTAAACCGCTGTATGGTCATGATCACCATGCTGCAGCTCAGTTTCAGTGTCTTGGCAATCTTCTTATAGCCAAGGCCATCTTTATGTAGAGCAACAATTCTTTTTTTCAGATCCTCAGAGAGTTCTTTGCCATGAGGTGCCATGTTGAACTTCCAGTGACCAGTATGAGTGAGAGCGGTAACACCAAATTTAACACACCAGCTCCCCATTCACACCTGAGACCTTATAACACTAATGAGTCACATGACACCAGGGAGTGAAAATGGCTAATGATGCCCAATTTGGACAGTTTCACTTAGAGGTGTACTCACTTTTGTTGCCAGCAGTTTAGACATTAATGGCTGTGTGCTGAGTTATTTTGAGGGGACAGCAAATTTACACTGTTATACAAGCTGTATACTCACTACTTTACATTGTAGCAAAATGTCATTTCTTCAGGGTTGTCACATGAAAAGATATAATAAAATATTTACAAAATGTGAGGGGGTGTATTCACTTCTGTGATATACTGCACGTGTTAACTAGGACTGAATGACCTTATCATTTGTATATGCACAAATAATGATATGCCTTCCTGACTTTTTAGAAAGTTTTTTGTCCTTTTGTGACTTTAGAGCTTCAGGGGCAAGGCATACTACATCACCTTGTTCAAAGTCACTTTAAACAGCAAGTGCAAAACCTGTATTCAGTTAGTGCTTTATATGAGACATAACTCAGAGAGGCAGTGCTTTGGGGGATAAAGCTATTACATGTTTAGAAGGAGAACTCAAAGAAATAACAACTAGAAACCAAAGGATTTGTAATAAAGACGTATTAAGAGCAAAAGAAAGGTTATCAGAATGTTAGAATCTCATTAAAAATGCTAATACATACCTTGTTATAGAACTCAAACAGTTCTTCATGACTGAATTCCACAAATACTTTCTCCATGTTCTGCAAAAGAGAAGATGGCCAAGAAGTTCATAAGCATGGTGGTTTATGAAGAATATTAGAGATAACATGACACTACTACATAATCTAAGATGGTTCCCTGCACAGTAGGGACATAGGAGAGCAAGAACATTCCACCAAACACCTGTTGTTCATAGTAAACATGTTAACAGTTTCTTTGGTTCCCCTAAAGAAGGAAAATGTAGCACGTCCTTGCTAAGTAAGAAAACTATATCATTATCTTTTTAAAAAGCAAATCTAAAACACAAGGTATTTCAAATTTCTCAGCATTCCTTCTGGGAGCTAGTAAATGTTATAATGAGACACTGGAGGCAGTGTATGTGACTGAACTCACGTAGCCATTAAAGTGGTACACCAGCACAGACCTAATACCTCAAATTAATCTAACGGTTATGATCGTAGCATGCTGTTTGCTGCAGTCATTTACAGAGTCATTCAGGTCGAGTTAACTGTACAACTGCTTCAAAGCAGTGCTTAAATATTAAAAGCAAAATAAAAATTGATGAAAGGCATGGTGAGTAAAGCAGTGGTGGTTACTTGGAGTGAGAGGACTGGGATGTAGGCAGCTGATGAAGGCAAGCAGGATGCCAGGACCAGGGTGCTGGTGCAACACTGGGTTCCACAGTTTGGTAGGACTAGAGGCTGGCAGTGTGGTCAATGGTCCAGCATTAGAAACGAGGCAGGAAGCAGTCTAACATAGTGCAAGAGAGAGAGAGCACAGCAAATGCCAGGGAAGCAGTAAAAGTAGAGGAGGGAAGCCACCAGGACAGACAATGGGCTAGAACATGGCAGGGACAAACTGGAACAAGGCAGGGACTAACCAAGCAAGGCAGGAATACACAGGAGCAGCAGACTGGAACATGCAGGATCAAACAGGAGCAAGGCAGGAACAAGGTTCAAGGAGTAGTGATGCAGAAGGCCAAACTGTAAGAGAGTCACAGAGACAACTTGCGTTTGCTGTGGCAGAGAGCAATGCTGCAGAAAGGCCTTTTATGTTGGTTTCCAGGGCCTCAGTTGTTTCCTGCAAGTGCCTGCAAAGCCTTCCTGGTTGGCACTTGCAGGGCTAGGCAGGTCCTAGTCCTGACAGGGAGAGTTAAAATACTTTGTTTTGAATTACTTTTTTCAAATTCATAATCCAGCTAATGGCCTACTTGTCTTGATGAAGCCTGTTTCAAGTATGATTTGTCATGGGTAGTACTTACGCATTTGCTCCTAGTTACAAAGCACTAATCTCTATCATACTTGTGTCCTGCCCAAAGAACTGGGGGACCTATTTTATAGGGCTGACCTATTTTATTTTTGCAACAACTCTGACAGGTGGATTAGGCCAAGAGGCAATCATGTGTCCACAACCATCCAATATGCACCATACAACTTCTCCCTGCCTCAGTCCAGATCCTGCCTCAGTCCAGATCTATTTTCTACAGCCTTCCCCAAACCTTGTCCTCTGTATACCACACTGGCTTTAACTACTACCTCTGCAGAAAATTGACACAGTTGGGAAGATCATGATTTGTTGTTTTAAATGGATCTGTCAAAAAAGTGTTTCTTCTTGATACAATGCTATGGGGGGTAGGAACATTTTTGAAAGGACAAAGCACAACATCTAATTGTGACATAAAAGGAGGTGCCAGTCTATACTAAAGCCCCATTCAGACTGTACTGACATTGATGCAAATCTCCCACGAACAGAGTGTTTTTCACTTTCTAGAGTGTTATTTACTTTCAGGTAAAAACAGAAGTTTGGATCCAGGTTTAGGCACACGCAACTGGGCAAACTTCCCCATTTGTTCTTCACAACAGTCCCTTTAGTTTACTAAAATGGGACTCTGCTAAATGACTAGTAGCTATCAATAGCTTTATGCTCGACTTGTCCAACCTCTTTTAAAACCATCAAAATTGGTTTTGTACATTCTGTACTGAGGGCCAGAAGTCAATTCCACAGTTTAACTACGTGCTCTGTGAAAAAGTATTTCCCTTTATCTGCCCTCTATCTCCCACCAAGCAGGTTCATGGGATGAAATGTCTTCACACCATGCATAATTTTGAACACCTCTATCTTGTCATCCCTTACTCACCTTGTTTTTCCCACTAAACTGAATAATCCCAGATTCCTCTCCTTATAGGGAGTAGCTCTATCCCCTTGATCACTTTAGTTGCTCTTCTCTGCCATTTTCCCAATATCCGTCTTTCAGAAGTGATGACCAGAACCATGCACAACATTCTGAATGTACTCCCAGCATATTTACATTCCTCCATTGCAAGTTTTATTTTCAGTCGCTTTCCTAATTATGCCTAACATGGAATTTCCCTTTTTCACAGCAGCCACACAGTGGATTAACATTTTCCCTGAGCTGTCCACCAAAACCCAAAGATCTCTTTCTTGGTCACCAACTACCACTTCATCAGTGTATATAAGTAGGGATTTTTTCCCCAGTTTGCCAGTTTACACTTGCTCACACTGAACCCCATTTACCACTTCAATGTCCATTTTTGCAGTTTGCAGACATGCTTTTGGCACTCTTCACAATCCATTTTGTTTTAACTACCCTGACATCAATATCCCTTTTCACCTCACTGCTCAATCCTATTTCCAGATCATTCAGTAACAAGCTAAAAAGCTGAAAAGAGAGAAATCCAGAGTAGTGTAGTGGTTAAGAGGTGGGACAGGGACTCAGTTGATCTGGGTTCTAGTCCCTGCTCAGCCATGGAGGCAACCTTGGGCCAGACACAAACTCTCAGCCCAACCTACCTCACAGGATTGATGTGGAGGTAAGATTGAGAGCAGCAGGAGTATTATGTAACCTGCTTTGAGTTCTTTCCAAAAAAGAAAAAGGTGGGATATTAAATAAATTAATAGTACTGAGCCCAGTACAAGTCTCTGTGGGATGCTTTTGTTCACATCTTTCTATTAGGAGAAACTAGCAATTATTCCTACTCTCTGCTTTCTATGAGGTGAGGGTATGGAGTTCTGTTGATGGATGTAGATCCTGGATTCCACCAATTAAAGGTTAAAACTGTCATTAGACCCTATCCTTCATTGACTTACCTGAATGGAAAAGTTTCTAAAGGATAAAGTATTGGATTTTAGCAGGGCTGAAAATACCCCCAAGATTAAAGGAATTGTTTATTCAACTGTGGGCTCATGCCATTTTAAATAAGCTTACGTGGTATTTCCACAGTATCAATAAAAGTGAACAGTACATATGTCTGGAGTAGACTAGAAGTGCTTTAGTTCTTTTCAGAGTGCTAAACAGAATGCTGCTCCTTTTTCTTAGATACAATTGCATTATGTGCCAATAATTGTTTATTTTTTCTTGTTTCTCTAGATTTGGATATACTTGCCTCCGTAATTCAAACATTTTATTATTGCATCGGGTAAGGAGTGTGAATGTCTATGGTTAAAGAAATGTGGGCTTGTCAATACCACTCTGTCAGCAAATTTCCCACAAGGAGCTGTACTTTCTGCTGGTTGCCATTATGAATATGCAAGCACTGGCCAGAGATTGTCATGACTTGTTCTGCTATCCAAACCTAGGTGTGGGGGAGGTTAAACCATCTTTGTATAACTCTAAACAGATGGCGGGTTATGTGAGAATTGTTTAAACCTCAAATAACTCTGACTACTGAGATTCAAATGACACAAGCCACAGCAATCCCTAGCTGAGGCTTGCATATTTAAAATGCAAGATAACAAGGGCCTCAGAGCTCTGAGGATTAAATAACAAACAATTGGCTGTTGTGCACTCCAAACCAGGTCACTGGCACTGTTTGCATGAATGACAACCTGGTGTGGGTTATTTAGACATGTGCAGGGCACATGTGGCCCCAATTTTGATTATGCAGCCCCCACTTGGTGTTGTCATTTCATGTGCACTTGGCAAGTGAGGGTTCTATGAGAGATAACCAACCTGACCCCCATAGGCACCATGCATCACTGTCTGAACCTGGTCAGTGAAACGTGGTTCACATATTAAAAGGTTGAGCTGGAGATTCAAGGAGGACTTAGTTGTTTTTAAAATCACCTCTTATTATATACTCTATATCATGGGTTGCTCTCCTCCTCTTCTATGACTTGATGTTCTGAGAAACTGCCTGTATATCTATAAATGGGCTATGCAAAGATATAGGAGTACATCCTGGTCAGATGACCCCTTAGGGTAGGCGTGTAAGTTGCTACTTCGCTATTCATCTTTTTCCATTTTTAGTTTGATTTCTTCTTCAGTTTTATTGTTCAGTGCCATGTAAGTTTTGATTTCTTTAATCAGATTTAATTGCATTTATGAATTTCAAGTCTATAAGTTTACACCCTGCCCACACAAGCATACTAAGGTCATGTCACTAGATATTAATCATGCGACATTTAAGCTGCTTAAAAAAGCTAGATAGTGGCAGATGATTACATTTGTATATGTGTGTGTGTTCTTGGACCTGCCCTGTCACACAGAAGGAAAAAGTAGTAATGAAAACCTTTGTTTGCCTAAAATACTCAATCACACAGTCTTTATTCCTGTAAGATATGCACACTGGAGAGCCAGTGTGGTAAAATGGTTAAGAGTGTCTGCATTCTGGTCTCCACTCAGCCACGAAGCTGACCAGGTTACTTAGAGCCAGTCACTGGCCCTCAGTTTAACCTAACTTCTAAGATTGTTGTTATAGATAAAATGGAGAGGAGGACTATGTCTTGTCTTGGGCTCCTTGCAAAAAGAAAAAAAAGTGGGATATAAATAAATGCAATAATATAGGTTACATTTTCAACTCAAAGTGGCATTTATAAGAATAATGATGCATAAACAAAATATGTGAGTGGAAGACTGCACTGCTAATATGTAGCTTCTTTCACTGAAGGATTAAGATGTGCTTTATATGTATGTGTGGTTTCAGACAAGGAATTAAAACAGAAGTTTCATGGGCTACCACAAGTCTAACGTTTTTTAGGAAGTGGGGACCGTACATTCAACCCTTGGAATGAGCAAACAATG